GAGAGCCTTGATCCCTCCCCACTGTATTATGGCGTCCGAGATTCTCTGTGGCTGTGTCTGGTGCCTTGTCACACTGTGTGACCGGCTTGAGAATGTGAACAGAAAAGCAAATATTAGCAGCCACTTACTGATCATCATGGTGCCCATAGTCCAGATGAGGAAACCGAGGCTCAGGCAGAGGAAGCTGCCTGTCCAATCTCATGTCTGTTGCCTCTAAAACCCATGCTCATAATCGCTGGGCCTTCTTGCCTCGCAAGAAGGTTGCGTGTGGTTGTGTCTATTATTTTCAGTGTGTGCGTGCCAAGGTGCAAGCACGTGCACGTGTGTGCTACCAGAAAGGGTGTAAATAACAGATAGGTGTATCATTGAGAGCACAGGCCCTGGAATCAGCACTGAGTTCGAGTCCTGCCAGTTTCCTAGTGGTGTGACCTTGATCATATCATGTGACTTCACAGCCCTGAGCCTCAGTCTCCTCATCTATGAAAATGAGGGCATAATAATAGCATCTACCTTATAGGGTTGTTGTGAGGATTAAACCTGAATGAATTGTTCACAGTGCTCATAACAGGGCACCGTGCTAAGGATGAACTCGATACATGGGAATTGCCATTATCATCGGGGAATTGTTTTTGAGGACATAAAGGGGAAAAAAAAGTGAGATGATGGGACCTATTCTTTGTTCTGATGGAAAAATGTGTTAATGAGGGCCTAGTCTAGATGTGTGTGTGTGAGCTAGACTTTTTATCCTGCTGTCATAATAGAAACTTAAAAACATAGTGGCTTAAACGAGAGGAAAGTCTATTTTTCTTCCATGTAAAGGCCTAGTTAACACCCAGGCCTAAAATGGTAGCTTGAGAATGTCAAAGACCTGGGCTTCTGCTGCCCCCTTGCTCCGCTGCCCTCACCTCTCACTTTCCCTATGTTGTCCAAAGTGGCTGCTCCAGCTCCCGTCATCACATCCACGTTCCAACCATTGAGAAGAAGAAAAAAGAAAATTAATTATATGTCCCTTTAAAGCTACAACTCAGAAGTCATACACACCACATTCCATTGCCTAGGATCGTGGTCACTTTTATCATGTGGGAGGTTGGAAAATGTAATTTTATCTGGGCAGCACGCACCCAGCTAAAATTTTGAGGTTCTGTTACAAAAGGAAGTAGAGAGAATTCTTATTGAAGGACAAGAGTACACCTGTCACACCAGAGTTCTACTACCAAATGGCCATGTGACCCTTGGGCAAAGTGACTTCACTGCCCTGAGCCTCAGTTTCCTCCTCTGAAAATGGTTTTACTATCTACCTCTTAGTGTCAATGAATTGATGAGGATTTAAAAAGAGCGTAGGTTCCAAGTCCTTAGCACGGGGCCTGGCTATTGTCAGCCTGGAGTATGCGTTGGGGGTCTCTTTGTACCTGTGTGTCCAGGCTGTGGGGGATGTGCCGCTGTGTGTGTGAGAAACTAGCCCCGGGTACAAGAGCTGAACCCAACACTGACCTTGGTAAGTTACTTCTCTAAAATAATCTGGCTTCTCCACACATGGAAATCCCCTCTCAGCCTCCTGACCTTGGGACTGGGCGCACATCCTTCCACAGCCATCCCCCACGCCCTGGAGAAAGGCAGACTCCAAGGAGGGGGAGGGGGCCCACAGATAGGGTCTCCAGCACCCCAGCCCTCGTGGAATTAAACATCCATCTCTTAATTAATGTCACCAAGACTATTCTCTTCATCTGTGACAGCCCTAGCATTCTAAAGCCAGAAGTCATACTTTCAATGCTGTTCTCGGGGGCCCAGCCCCTGTTGCAAAGTTTCATTTGTTATCAGCTCCTCGGGTAAACCCAGACAGTCAGAGAATGCCTTTGCCAGGGGCATGTATGATATCTGCCCAATTGTAAATGTTGGCACTGTGCCAAAGAAATGATTTTAAGAGCATGAGAATTAAACAAGCTGCTGGTTAGGTGTTTGTAGACCCTCGTATAAGCCATTTTACAGAAAAAGAAACCGACATCCAGAAAGAGAAGAAACTAACCTGGTACATTTATGAATCCAGGATTCCATGATTCACCTTAACTAAGTGATAGAATTCACGCCAATAATAGGACAAGCAACATCGTGTGCCTTCTGATACAATGCACGGAGAAAGACGCGACATCACTTCTATAATATTCCGGCCACCAGAATGTAATCACAAGGAAATATCAGACAAACCCAAATCTCAGGGGACATCTTACAAAAGAACTGGCCTGTAACGTTCAAAAATGTCAACCTCATGAAACACAAGGAAAGGCCGAGCAATTGTACCAGACTGAAGGAAACTCAAAAGCCATGAGAACTATCAAATGCATGGTTGCTGGACTGGGAAAAAATGTTTTGCTGCAAAGGATAGTTTGGGGACCACTGGTGATTTTAATATAGACTGCACTGTTAGATACTAGTGTCGTATCACTGTTAGATGTCCTGCTTTTGATAAGTGTACTGTGACTATGTAAGAGAATTGTCCTCCTACGTGGAAATACACACGGAAGTATTAGGTGGCTGAGGAACGTTAATGTCTGACACTTACTCTCAAATGGCTGGGGAGAGAGGCAAGAGAGAAAGAGCCAATGATAAAGCAAACTGGAAACTTGTTAATAATTGCTGAATAATTGGCTAAGGGCATACAAGAAGCGTTTGTCTTATTTTTGCGACTTTTCCGTATGTTTAAATGATTTCAAAAAAGAAAAACAAGATTACAAATTAACGATTTAAAAGTCCATGGTTTTAAGGGTCTTTGTTTCTAGGAGTATCTAGTCTGTGCATGCATCTGTGGTCAGAGTTTGGGGAGTTGTGAGGGTGAATTTGCTGCTTCAGACACTGCCTTGGGGTGTGACCAGCGCCTTAGGGTGTGGTTAAGGTCTGGGGTGTGGCCAGGGACTTGGGGGGTGTGGCCAAAGTCTCACGTGGTTGAGATGAGGGGTAGGCCGTCCCCTGGGGTGTGGTCAGAACCTTGGGGCCTGGTCAGATTTCAGAGTCTAGGGTTATGATCTGAGAAGCTCCTCCCAAGGAGGAGGTAAACCTGTACTTAGAGCGCCCTCTTGAGGCTATTCTGGGGTCTGGCCCCCCATGTTTTTAAACCGCTGTATTGAGAGAGAATGCATATATCCAGCAGTTTAACCAGTCAAAGTGTATAATTCAATGATTTTAGTAAATTCAAAGAGTTATTTTAAGACATATCTTCACTCTCGGCCCCCTTCGATCTTAGGCAACCCCCAAAATACTTTCTGTCTCTCTAGATTTGCCTATTCTGGACATTTTATATAAATTGAATCATACATGCGGTCTTTTGTGACTGGCTTTTTTTTTTTTTTTAATGCCAGTTTATTTATTTTTTTATACTATATACACATAATTTTTTTTAATATTTTCTTTTTCTATTTTCCCCCTCCCCCCTTCCCCTCCCTTCTGGTATCCACTGGTCCATTGTCCATGTCTATAAGTCTCTGTTTGTTTGTCCTGTTTATTTGCTGCTTTTAGGTTTATATCCCACATATGTGATATCATGTGATTTTCAACCTTTTCTGTCTGGCTTATTTCGCTTAGTATGATTATCTCAAGGTCCATCCACGTTGTTACAAATGGCAGTATTTCATCTCTTCTTATGGCTGAGTAATATTCCATTGTATATATGTACCACAGCTTCTTTAGCCAATCATCTATCATAGGACACTTCGGTTGCTGTGACTGGCTTCTTTCACTTGGCATAACGTTTTTGAGGTTCATTCCTGTTGTAGCATGTTATCAGTACTTCATTCCTCCCAATGGCCGAATAACATTCCTTATATGGGTATACTGCATTTAATTTATCCATTTTTCAGTTGATGGATATTTAGGGGGTTTTTTTTCCCCACAAATCTTTGGGTGGATATACGTTTTTGATTCTCTGGGGTAGATACACAGGAAAGGCTGGGTCATGATGTTTAATCTCTTGAGGAACCTCCATCCTTGTTTTCCAAAGCAGCTGCCTCATTTTACACTCCTGCCAGCAATGTCTCAGGGTTCCAAATTGTCCCCCAGCCTCTCTTGTCTGTCTTTCTTGTTACAGCCATCGTGGTAACTGCGGAGTGGGATCCCACGGAGGTTTGCGTTTGCATTTCTCTGACTGATAATGATGTCGAGTATCTTTTCTCATCATCTACCACTTTTGTATCCACTATGCAACCATGTGAACTCTCAGCCATTTTAACATATTTGATCCAGATTTTTCAAATTAAGCATTAATGATTTTGTTTGAAGTCCCAGTGTAACCTTCTCAGAATTCATCCTTTTCCTACATTTAATGTTTACCATTACCACGCATATTTTCATATTAGCATCACATAGCTTTGTAGCCCCCAATAATACAGAGCACTGGTTTTGCAGGTTTTCAGACTTGGTGTAAATGACATTGTTCTTTCAAACTTGCTTCCCCAACCCCCTCATTCTATTAGTTTCCTAGAGTTTCTTTAACAAAGAACCATAAATGGAGTGACTTAGACAGCAGAAATGTATTCTCTCACAATTCTGGAGACTGGAAGTCCAAAATCAAGGTGTTGGCAGGGCTATGCTCTTTCTGAAGGCTTTAGGGGAGGGTCCTTGTTGGCCTCTTCCTGTGTCTGGCGTTTGCCAGCAATTCTTGGCATTCCTTGGCTTAGAAATGCATCACTACAATATCCACTTTCGTCATCACATGGCTTTCTCCCTGTAAGTGTACCTGTGTCTGTGTCCAAATTTCCAGTCGCACTGGATTTAGGATCCACCCTGATCCAGTATGACCTCATCTTAACTTGGTTACATCTGCAAAACCTCTATTTCTAAATAAGGTCACATTCACAGGTTCCTGAGAACATAAGGGGGTGGGAGGGACTCTATTCAACCCAGTACAACTCATTATGTTTTTATGATTCATGCTATTGGTATGTGTGTCTGATTCATTCATTTGAATTACTGTGTGGGAGTCCTTTGTGAGAGTATACCACAATTTATTCATCCATTCTCCTGGTGGCAGACACCTACCTTGTTTCCAGTTTTCTCTATTGCCCACGAGGCTGCAATTAACATCTTGGAACATGTCTCTTGGAGTTTTTTACGGTAATATTTTTCAACCTGCCGGACAAGATCCATTAGTGGGTTGCAAAATCAATTTAGTGGGTTGCAAACGATTTTCCCTTTAATAAAATGGAATTAAACAGAATAGAAGGTATTAGAACGCAGGCACATAGTCGGGGTAAGGATTACCCTCTAAAACCGTTTGGTTCGGGTGTATAATATCTCGACAGGAGCAAAAGTGTTCGCAAACCACAGCTCTGAAGGATGCAGAGGGCCATGGACTCGCCCTGTCACAGGTTTGATGGAACCAACGTAATTTGTTCTTTTACATTTCCATGGCCTCCTTGATGCTTGGCATAATCAAACGCTTGAATCTTTGCTAGGTTTTCATCCTATTTTCTGGAGGAGGAAACTGAGCAGACTCACAGAGGGCAGCAGACCACACCATTCTGACTGCCCAGACCCCTCTCTGCTTGGTCTGAGATGGAACCTCGAAGATGCCATAAGTTAAGGATTCTCGGGTTCTGAGAGATGGGGGGCGGGGACTGAGGAGGGGAGCGGGGTGTGATGGGAGATGCAGCTCTCATCCTTAACCCTCTCCCCTCCCTCCACTTCAAAGAGGTTTTGAAAATCAGGGAGAAAACGTAGTTTGACATACAGGGCCCGATCGAGAGAGTTTAATAAACGTCAGCTATTACTATTATTCTCTAGTTCGAAATTCACTAGATATGTACATACTTGTGATCAGAACTTGGCCCGGTCCCCTGGGGCGTGGCCTGGTCGTTCAGGAGAAGCGACCTAGGTGTCCTGGGGAGGAGGGACGGCCCTGCCCACAGCGCCCCCGGTGGCGGCCGGGCGCTCAGCCGGGACTGGGCACGTGCTACAGGTGACGCACCTTGGGTTGAAAACCACACCCCTCCAGCCTCGAACCCAACAGCCTAATTTCCCCGCAGGCCCCTGCCGTGGGGACCCAGGAATTATGTCACCGAATTCTTCCTCACTCGGACACCCTCTTCCCAACCCCTGCTCCCAGGGGGTCTGGTCGCGCTGTGTCTTCCGTCTCGGGGACGCATTATCTCCTGGACTTTTCCTCCTAGAAAGTTCAGCTGTCTGACCTTTAATTCCATTCAACGACCAAAGATCAAACCGTTCACAACAAGAGTGCTACGTCCCAGCCCCACCCCCATGCGGGGTTCGGATAGGACCCAGCCCTACCCCGCCCCCCGGCAAAATTCCCGGGTCTCCCCCAGCCTCTCCTCCACTTCGAGACGCAGCGCTCAGCCCCTCCCTCAGCCCCTAAAGGGACCCAGGCATCAACCCGCAATTCCCACCCGACGGGGGACCATCTCTTATCTCCACCCCCCGAAGCCATCCCATCTCGCTGTCCTTTGGGGATCAGACTTGCGAACCCCGTCTCTAGGGAACCCCCGGGCCGGAGCCCTAGGCCCCGCCCCCTTGGGAGACAGGTACCTGCCCTTCTCCCGGCCCCGCCCCCAACCTGACCTGGGCGGGGCCGCGCCTTTCTCGGCACCCGACCTTCCCAAGGCACTGGAGGCACCTATGGCTGCGGCTGCGGCCCCACGCGGGTGGCAGTGGGGAGAGGCCCGCGCCGTCGACCGGGCGGTGAGGCTGCTGCAGCGCCTGGAGGAGCAATGCGGGGACCCCCGGCTCACCTCGAGTCCCCCCTCTCTCCGCGACCTGCTGCCCCGCACCGCGCAGCTGCTGCGAGAGGTGGCGCAGGCCCGGCGTCGGGCCGGCAGAGACGGCCCGGAGGATCCCGGAGGTGCCAGGGACTTTCTCGTCATCTACCTGGCTAACCTGGTGGCCAAGAGCAGGCAGGTGGCGGCACTGCTGCCACCGCCGGGACGAAGGAGTGCCAGTGACGAGCTCTTCCGGGAGGGCTCCACACTCAGGTGAGCAGACGCACTGCCCCGAATCAGCATGGGATCACGAGGGAGGCTCAGGGCTTGCTCCCGGGCCCCTCCTCCCCCAGACCCAGGAGTCCGGGCCCCCCCAGGGCTTGCTCCCGGGCCCCTCCTCCCCAGACCCAGGAGTCCGGGCCCCCAGCCCCCCAGACCCAGGAGTCAGGGCTCCAAGAGAGGAAAGGACAGAAACCAGCTTTGGGGCACCACTGATCCCTAGTGCTGTGATCCAGGTGACCAGAACCCTCCTCTGTCCCCATGAAGAGATTCTAGACCATTTACTCCCACTGACCTCCTAGGAGACCCAAGAGTCCAAGCCCTCAGCCTCTCCCTCCCCCAGACCCAGGAGTCCAGGCCTCCAGCCCCTCCTCCCCCAGACTCAGGAGTCCGGGCCCCCAGTCCCCTTCTCCCCCAGCTCCTCCTTCCTCAAACCTAGGGGTCCAAGCCCCCAGCCCCTCCTTTCTCAGGACCCAGGAGTCAATACCCCAAACCATTCTCCATGAGGGAACCTGTACAACTGGGCCACCCAATTCTTTCCTTCCTTGGGCATCTATGCCCTCAGCACCCCCATATTCTCTCTTTCTTGGCCATCCCTCAGCCTGCTTCCCATTACCACACTCTCCTGGAGGCCTTGGACACACACCGGGAGATGGTGGGGTCCCCAGGGAGCTTCCTGCAGGAGGTGGAGGGATTGACATCCCATCACCGCCCCTGCATGGGAGACTCAAAGGCCCCTTCTGGTCGTTGGCACCTAAGGAACAGCTGGCTCAGGACCTAGGGCTTGTCCGCAGGACACCTGCTCTGGTTCTGACCCCCGGGGGAGGGGCTGCTGAGTGACACAGGCAGGTGAGGTTTGAGGTCTAGAACCTTGAACAAGGTCTGGACCACTGGGTCTCAACCCAGTCACCCCACACACCCCTTCTTTATAGCAAACGTTTCGTAGTGTCTCCTTAAATTTATCTTAAAATGGAATAAGTAATAACTTACTTATATATTTTTAATCACTATAATGCCCAAACTGTATTATAAGGGAGTGATGAAGGAATGTTCTTCATAGTAACATCATCTGTATTTTGAAGGGCAGCACCACGGCACAATCACAATTATTCAGCAAGGCAGAATTGATGAGTCAGACACTTGCATGTGTAGGAAGAGTCACTACGTTGCTAAATCAGTCTTCCCTTGACATAGAGGAGAGTCGCGTTTCTGTAAAATTCAGAATAAATTTTAAACGTGCAAAAAAATGCTTGTGGAAGACAGAATTGGGTTCTAGGCTCAGGTCATTATAAATGGATTTTGCGCTTAGGTGACTGTCCGGTGGGACGGTGGAAAGCTGCGTGGATGTGGGCAAATCTTGCTGGAGAGGACCGTCCCCCATGTCCTCGCCTCCCCCGATCACTATGACAAGTCAATGTCTAGACACTTCTCAGAAGGGTGATGGAACTCCTCTGAGAACCGCTGTTCTAGATTCAGTGGGTTCTAGAAGCCAGGAAGCTTAGGGGCTCCGTGAGGGTCTGAGTAGGCGTTCTAGGGCCGCTGGGGGCCTTGCACTGTTTGAAGGAGATTCTATGCCAGCACTTTCCACTCCAGCCTAATGCGAGCCGTTATGTAGTGTTTCGTTTTCTAGATGTATTACAAAAAGATTTTTTAAACAGGTGAAGTGGGTTTTGATAACATTTTTTTAACTCGTCACTATAGACAAAATATTATCATCTCAATTTATAACCAATATAAAGCAATGATTAATGAGATCATTCACTTTTTTTTTTTTTTTTCCTCCCACTAAGTTTTTGAAATCTCGTATTTCCTGTTTAGAGCATATCTCAGTTTGGACCAGCCACAGGTGGATAATGGCTCTGGGAAGGGGATTACTTAGAAGCTGTCAGGGGTGGCCCTATAGAAGGTATCAGGAACCTATACACCTGGTCCAAAGAGTCCCAGGGTCCAGCCACATCCTCAGAGCCCATCCCTACAGGCGACAGCTGGCCAAGCTGGCCCTGATCTTCAGCCACATGCTCACGGAGCTGAGCGCGCTCTTTCCCGGGGGAAAGTACTGTGGACACACATACCAGCTGACCAAGGCCCCGGCCCACGCCTTCTGGAGGAAGCACTGCGGAGCCCGGTAAGTGAGTACCTTGTCCCCGGGGCCCCTCGGCTGCTGGTGCCTCATCTGCCCTTGCCCAGGGACCCAGCCCCTCCTGACCCAGACCCAGGAGTCTGGGCCACCAGCCCCTCCTCCCCAGACCCAGGAGCCAAAGTCCCCAGCCCCTCCTCCCCCAGACCCAAGAGTCCGGGCCCCCAGCCCTTCCTCCCCAGACCTAGCTGCCTCCTTCCTAGAGTTCCTCCCATCCTGGACTCCCAGAGGCCTCACCTGCACCATCCCCCCTCTGACCAGGTGTGTGCTGCCCTGGGCTGAGTTTGAGTCTCTCCTGTGCACCTGCCACCCTGTGGAGCCAGGCTCCACGGCCCTGGCCTTGCGCTCCACCATCGACCTCACCTGCAGCGGCCACGTGTCCATCTTTGAGTTTGACATCTTCACCAGGCTTTTCCAGGTCAGGGAAGGCCAAGGCGGGGGCCCACGCTTGGGTCCTGAGGGAGGAGGGGGTTGGGGCCCTGACTCCTGGGTCAGAGGGAAGAGGGGCTGGGGGCTTGGACTCCTAGGTCTGGGGGAGGAGGGGCTGGAGGCCTCTGAGTAAGAGAGACCCCTGAGGCCCACAGTGGGTGTGAGCGAGGTGGCGGGGTTCTTGGACCCTGGGAAGCAGTGGGGGAGTGGCTGCTTCCTCAGCCCCTCCGTGACCCAAGCGTCACCCCACTCCAGCCATGGCCAACACTCCTCGAGAACTGGAAGCTCCTGGCAGTCAACCACCCGGGCTACATGGCCTTCCTCACGTACGACGAGGTCCGAGCACGTCTCCAGGCCTGCAGGGAAAAGCCAGGCAGGTGAGCGGCAGGCCTCGGGAGGCATTGGCCAGGGGTCAGGACTCTGGATCCAGCCTGGGGCGTGGCAGAAAGCAGATGTCCTTCCGAGAGAGGAAGGACTGAAGGGCTGAGTTACCCGGGCCCCCGGGCAGTAGAGGACTCAGAGGTAGGACGCTGAGTGCCCCGTGGCATCCTTCCTTTCCTCCTGGGACCTCCTGGACCTTCCCACAATCCAACAGCAAAAGACTCAACACCTGCTCTGGCAGAGGGCCTCAAGACCCTGCCCCAGGAAAAGGCCCGTTTCTGATAGGTCAGAGCCCATGCTCTACCATCTCCAAAATATTTTCAGTATGACCCCCCCACCACGACCTGTTGGGTAGGGTGCTGGGAACCAGATGCCTAAGTCCTGAAATTACTTCAAGCCAGGAGCTTTGAGCTGTTGGGTCCCCCCAGAAAGTTAAGTATTGAGGGGCTGAGCTCCCTGGAACACCAAGAAGTTAAGGAAATAGGAGGTCAGATTTGTGAGTCTTTGCAGGGCTGGGGTGTGGGACCCCCAAGACAGCGGGTATATTAGCCCTTTTCCAGTTACACTGTATACTGGCTTCACGGGAAAGAAAAACCGATGAATTATAGGAATAGTTGAAAAGACCAGGTTCGGGTGTCGGG